GGTCTCCAGGATCGCGCCCTGGGCCAAAGGCAGGCGCTAAACCGCTGCGCCACCCAGGGATCCCTATTTCTAAGAGTTTTTTGTAGGTTCCTTGGGATTTTCTATGTAAGCCAACATACCATCTACAAACAGGAATGGTTTTATTTGTTTCTTTTCGATTTGTAAGTCTCTTACTTCTTGTTTCTTGCTTTATTGCCATGCCTAGAACTTGCAGTACTGTGTTGAGAAAGAGTGGTGAGAGACGATGTTCTTACCTGGAGCCTAATCCTGGAGGAAAAAAGCGTTTATACTTTCACCATTAAGTATAATGTTAGCCGTAGGTTTTATATAAATTGAAAAAGATTCTCTTGGGGGCTGCTGGGTGTCTCAGTCAGTTAAGCGAATGCCTTTGGCCCAGCCCAGGTCATGATCCCAGAGTCCTGGGACTGAGTCCTGCATCAGGCTCCCTGCTCACTGGGGAGCCTGTTTCTCCTTCTCCCTCTGCCACTCCTCTAGCTTGTGCTCTTTCTCTCTTTCTCTCTCTCAAATAAATAAAATCTTTAAAAAGGAAAGAGAGGGGATCCCTGGGTGGCTTAGCTGTTTAGCGCCTGCCTTTGGCCCAGCATGTGATCCTGGAGTCCCGGGATCAAGTACAACGTCGGCCTCCCTGCATGGAGCCTACTTCTCCTCTGCCTATGTCTCTGCCTTTTTGTCTCTCTGTGTCTCTCATGAAAAAATAAATAAAATCTTTAAAAATAAATAAATAAATAAAAATAAAAAGGAAAGAGAAAGATTCTCTCTATTCTTATCTTCTCTGAAAGTATTATGAAATCATTGTCAGTTTTGCTAAATGCATTTTCTGCATTGAGTTGAAACTTTTATCATTGTATTAAATCTCTTTCTCTCACTGGTAATTTTCTTCATTCTGAAGTCTGTTTTATCTGCTATTTATATAGCCACTCTAGCTTCCTTTGGATGATGTTTGTTTGACATTTCTATCCTTTTGCTTTCAGTTTGTCTATATAATTTTATTTGAGGTGGGAGTCTTATGACAGTGTGAGGGATGGATCGTATTTTTCAGTCTACTCTGCACATTTCTTTTAATTGCTTTCTTTTTTTTTACATTAATTATTTACATGTTAGGGCTAATCCTGACATTTTATTACTTGTTTTCTGTTCCCTCTGTTTTTCATTCTTGTTTTTTCATTCTTGTTTTTTTTTCCTGCCTTCCTCTGGGTAGTTGAACATCTTTTAAGATTATCTGTAGTGCTTTGATTTAGTTATAGCATCACTGAAACACTTATGGAATTGCATTTTGGTTTGCCTGTAGTGTCTTCGACTCTGTCCGTAGTGTTTGTAAATTTTTCTGTGATGTTTTGTATAGCAATTTATAGGGATTGCTGTAGGTATAATATATACATAATTTAGGGATTGCTGTATACATACACAGCAATATATACATAATTATATATGTATACAGCAATATATACAGCAAATATATACATAATTAATCACAGTCTACTGGTATTGTCGTTATACTAATTGAACAGTAGAAAACTTGCCTCCCTTTATTCCCCTTTACCCTCTCCCCTTTTCTGTACATTTCTCTTGAATGTGTTCTCTACATACATTTAGAACTACATGAGATGATTATATAGCTTTTGTTTCCATCACCAAACATAATTTAGAACTCAGAGAAGAGAAGCCTATCATATTCATGTTTTTGCTTCCTGTGTTCGTTCTTTTCAATGTTCCAGCATTCCTTTTTTTATCACTTCCTTTCCATTTAGAGAACTTCCTTTAGCCATTCTTTTAGGGTCTTTCTGCTGGTGACATATTCTTACTTTTTCTTATCTGAGAATGTCTTAATTTCTCCCTCATTCCTGAAGAATATTTTTACTGGGTAGAGGATTCCAGGTTGACCTTTCTTTTCTTTCAGCACTTATAAAATGTTGTGCCACGTATTTCTGGCTTCCACGCTTTCTAATAAGAAATCTGCTTCCATTCTAATTCTTTCATTCACATAAATAATGTGGTTTTTTTCCCTCTGGCTACTTTTAAGATTTTTTTCATTAGTTTTCAAAGGTTTAATTGTTTTATGTCTTGATATGAATTTCTTTGGATTTATCTTGTTTGAAATTCACTCAGCTACAAATACTTTTTAAGCCCCTCCTTCTTTATACTCTCCTTCTAGAATTCTAGTAACATAAATATTGTATCTTTTGTTATTGTCCCACAGACTCCGAGTCTCTTTTTTAAATCTGTTTCCTCTCCATTTCTCAGATTGGGTGATTTTTATTCTGTTTTCCTGTTCAGTGATATTTTTCTTACATGCTTTGCATTCTGCTACTGAGCCCATCTGCTGACTATTTTAATTCCATGTAATGTGTTTTTACTTCTAAAATTTTTATTTTGTTGTTCTTTGGATTTTTAATTTCTTTGGGGCTTTCATATTTTTTTCATTTATTTCAAGTACCTCATTATTTGGTTAATAGAAACATTTTTGTAATGGCTGCTTTAACATCTCTTTCAGATTATAATCTTTCATTATGGTGTTGTCATATTGATTGTTTCATTTTTCATTCACTTTGAGATCTTCCTGGTTCTTAACTTGATGAGTTCTTTTCAACTGAAATTTGGGCATTGTTATATTATGAAACTCTAGGGATCCCTGGGTGGCTCAGCGGTTTGGCGCCTGCCTTTGGCCCAGGGCGCGATCCTGGAGTCCTGGGATCGAGTCCTGTGTCGGGCTCCTGGGATGGAGCCTGCTTCTCCCTCTGCCTGTGTCTCTGCCTCTCTCTCTCTCTATGTCTATCATGAAAAAATAAATAAAATCTTAAAAAAAAAGAAAAAAAAGAAACTCTGACTTTTCTTAAACCTTTTCTTTTCTGATTTTCTCTGGTACCACCCTAGAAGGGAAAATGAGGATGCCACCTTGTGACTGCCAGGTAGAGACATAAGTTCTGTTTTTCCACTCAGGTTCCACCAGCACTCAAAGTGGTCATGGCTTCTTGTGTGAGGTGGGAGTGATCCTGTTACCACTATTAAGGTATACCATGGTGGGAGTGGTCTTGATGATGATGAAGGCCCTGACTTTCATTAGATCTCCTCTGACAGCCCTTCATTGTAGATGGGAGGAGTACCTCATTACTCATTACATTCCTATGTGGTCTCCATTGACACTCTTAGTGGAGATCTCTTTACTGGCCAATAGAGATAAAAGTTCTGGCCACCTACTTAGACTCCTCAGACTGTGGAATTGAGTTGCCCTATCATAGTTTTACAAGGGGAGAATGTCTAATTTCCCATCTAGCTGCTGCTTACATGATTGGGGTTGATGCCAGAATTTTCTGTGGTTTAGGCTTGAGTAAGGGCAGATAATATCTACAGCTACCTCTCCATAGCCTTTGGCTAAAGAAATCAGGCTTTTGTTGGGGCATTTTTGTCTGTACCTGTTGACATTGCCAAGTTGCCAGCTTCTTCAGCTCCAACTCTGGGATATAGGAAGCGAGAAGAATTCCAGGGAATCCACTACTTTGTCATTCTCTGGGTTTCAAGATCCTTGACCGGTCTATCTTCTTTCTACTTTTCAGGTTTTTTTAATGTTTGTTTTTATAATGTCTGGTATTTTTAGTTGAACTTACTGGGAGGAACAGGAAAAGTATACTTACTTCATCTTCCCAGAAGCAGAAATCTAATTGATTTTTCTTCCCTGTCCAACTGATTTTTAACAAAGGTGAAATAAGTTGCAAAATACTATATATACCACTGTATGTATATATCATATAAAATATCATATATCTGTCTTTCAAAAGAGAAAAAACTTGGGAGTCACATGTAATTATTTTATATAAGTGATTATATGTACCTATTTGGTTATTAGCAAGCTTAGAAGAAAATACACCAAATTGTTCATTTTAGAAACATGTTAGAAAATAGTATATATCCTTTCCTTCAGGGATACCAATAACATAAATATTAGATCTGTTGTTATTGTCCTGTTAACCTAACCTCATGACCCTTGAGTCCCATTATGCTAAGTTTACTTGAAAAAGAAAATTTTAAAACTGTATTTGAGGGGCACCTGGCTGGCTCAGTCAGTAGAACATGTAAGATCAGCCATCTTGATCTCAGGGTGGTAAGTTCAAGTCCCATATTGCGCATGGCATCTACTTTAAAAAAAAAAAAAAAAGAAGAAAAGCTGTATCTGATTGTATGTTTTGTTTTTTAAGATCTGAAAAGGTACACACCAAATTGTTGACATTGATTTGCTATAGGAATTAATAGTGGAGTATATGAACTTTTTCCTTAATGTACCTAGTAGTATTTGAAATGTTTATTGAAAGCATATAATATTTTTATAAGCTTCTTAATAAATAAAAATAATTAATGGACCTTAAGGGTATTAAGCTAAGTGGAATAAGTCAGAGAAAAACAAATACTGTATGATTTCATTTAAATGTGAAATCTTAAAAAAGAAACAAAAGCAAGCTCATAGATACAGAGAAGAGATTTGTGGTTATTAGAGGCTGCTGATAAGGGTGGTCAAAAGGTACAAAGTTCCAGTTATAAAATAAGTAAGTCATGGAGATGTCACGTTCATGTTGACTGTAGTTAATAAATAGTGCTGTATCATATATTTGAAAATTGGTAGGAGAGTAGGTCTTAAAAGTTCTCATCATAAGAAAAAATATTTCTGGTAACTGTATAACGTGATAGATGTTAGCTAGACTTATAGTGATTATAACTGTATAACATTGTGATAGATGTTAACTAGACTTATAGTGATTACTTTATGATGTATGCAGGTATCAAACTATTATGTTTTATGCCTGAAAGTAATATAATGTTATATGTCATTATACCTCAATTTAAAAAACTATCAAGAAAGGAGAAAGTGTTACAAGAAAAGCATAATATTCTAACCAATGAAATTGATCAACAAGCAAAATAAAAAAATGTGTATCTACCGTATTAGATATGGATTCATCATGTCCTGATTCTTTCCCCTCAACACACAGGAGTAAATGAAGAAGAGGAGAAGAAAAAAGCAAAAAGCAAGGAGAAAATCAAGTTGAAAAAAAAAAGGAAAAGGTATTTTTTAACATCATTGTTTTTTAAAAGCAGGACAATAAATCCAGGATGAATTATAAAATTTTATTTTGTGCGTGTTGTCTAGTTAATTTGGCACTAGTTTTTTTTCTTAATGGGAACTAGATAATCAGTTGTTTAAAATATTAAAGTCAGGAATCAAAAATAAAGTTAATTTCAGCCACCTTAATTTTTTTATAGCAAATTAAGGTATAAATAAATAATAGCCACCCTCCCTTCTTTTATGTGTTCTAGAATTTTGAGTTTAAAACATCATCCAGGCTTTCAATTAGATGATGTCTAAATTATTTACATATATATTTTGTCCTCATATATATGAAGTTGGAGCTTAAATATTTGTATTCTCAAAAAAATTTGTATTCTCAAAATATCATTGCCATGGCTACAAAATTAAGTTATTAATAGGATTTACATGCTCACTAATCATGCTAAAAATTATTTCAGGTCTCTCAGAACGCTCATCAGCCACCCATGAATTTTTAGTATCAACTCTTTTAATAACTAACTGGTTAAAGAAATTGATCAAAAGAATTAAGAAGCAGTTTCTTCTATGGTTAATGGGTGCAATTTCATTTATACTAGAATAAACATGTACATACAGACATTTTTAAGGCCCTTGACACTAGTAATGTCTGACTTGGACCCTAGTTCTCTAATAAAGTAGGTTCTGCAAATCAGAACCTTTACTTCAAAAAGCTTTACTTCATAAAGCTTTTAATATGTACATTTTAACCCTCAGCTACTTTATAAATTGGAAAAGTTTTTTCTTTCTCTCAAATGTTGGGAGTTAAATAATCTTTAACTAAAAACTAATAGGGGGCAGTCCCGGTGGCTTAGCGGTTTAGCGCCACCTTCAGCCCAGGGTGTGATCCTGGAGCCCCGGGATCGAGTCCCACATCAGGCTCCCAGCATGGAGCCTGCTTCTCTCTCTCTCTCTCTTTTTCTCTCTCTCTCTCTCTCTCTCTCTCTCTCTCTCTCTCTCTCTCTCTCTCTGTATCTCTAATAAATAAATAAAAAATCTTAAAAAAAAAAAAGCAATAGGGAGGTAGAACCCAGTGTATTTTGTAGTCTGACTCATGTATTGTTGAATGATTTGCATTAGCACAGCAAGATGGATGGCTTATAGGAAAAATGAAAAAAATTTCTTCCAAAGTCTAATATACTTGTTTTATCATAACAGATTATTTATTCAAGACTGGGGGATCACGACCTCCAACAGGACCTGAAATTAAATGAACTTTTCTGGGCATACTCAGCAGAGATTTTGCCACCTTAATAGAATTGTTATGTGCAGGTCTAACACGGTACCTTAAAAATGAGAATCTGGGAACAAAAGAGCCAAAGAAAAATGTATAGGCAAAGAAGCTCTGGTCAGAATGCAGAGGTCAAGCAGAGTCTTTAAAACAGGAAAACAGACAAGAATTAACAGTAACAGAATTGAAGAGGGAACAAGAGAATCCTTGAGAAAATAAGCCCTTGAAACAGGTAAAAGTCCAAGTAAGATAGACAAGATGGAAAAAGGAGTAGAGCATTACAGGAAACAAGGGAAAACTCATGAGTTCCTAAACAGGAAGGTCAGGGAATTCATACGAGTCACTCTGCAGACAGACACAGCCTGGTAGTCTCACATGTTTATTTTTTTCCTCCTGTGTGTCTTTGTCAAATTTTCTTAGTTTGAGGTTTCAGTTCTAACGGTCAGATCACTCAACTATCTCTTGAGATGTTGAAATCTAAGACAGATCTGTCCTGTCACACATTTAGAGTTTGGGTGTGGGCACATGGTTGTATACCTGTTCATACAAGATCTTAAGAGATGGTTTCTCTGCTTTTTTGTTACTTTTCTTTTCTTTTCATTTTAAAGGAAGAAATTCTATACTTTTCCCCCTAATTTTGTATCAGATTAATATTAGAAAAATAAAGAATAATGATAAATCATCCCATTTATTTATATTTATTTAAACACATCTTTTTTGTAACTAATCAGAATTACTTTGGAATGCAAGTGCTCATCTGTATCACTCTGCATCTAGAGGATTCAAGTATTCTAACTTGAAAAATAAAAAGAATTAACAAAAGTGCTTTTATTTTGCTGATTTCCAGCTTTCACCCATGTATACCAAGGTATAGTTATAGTCCTTTTTATATAATTACGTCTTTTTTTTTTTTTTTTTAGCTCTTTTAAGAGACTCTGCTAACAAGTTACTGCATATGTGAATGAATTGTATATATAATAAAGGCTTGGTAAATGCCGCTTTGTTTACCTTATAAGATTTTGAAGGATATGACAGGATGAAAAACTGAAAATCACAGAAAAAATCATTACATCCTTACTGAATTTAACTTACTACTAGAGTCGAACAGAATAGAGTTATTTGTTTTGTCAGTTTCTGTGGCCAAGGAGCAAAAATTCCAGTCAGTATTTTAAGAGAATACAAATATATAAAGCACATTTTGAGTTTGCTTATACCCCACCTTGCTTCAAAAATGATTTAAGGCAGGTAAAATCCCATTTACAGTGAACCTCTCCAGCCATAAATGCAATTACCAGTCCATGTGTATTATTGCCCGTAGGTCTTATTCATCCAGTTCCACTGAAGAGGACACTTCCAAGCAAAAGAAACAAAAATACCAGAAGAAAGAAAAGAAGAAAGAAAAAAAGAATAAGTCAAAGAGAGGGAAACATCACAAAAAGGAAAAAAAGAAGAGAAAAAAGGAGAAGCATTCATCCACTCCTAATCCTTCTGAGATCTCCAAAAAGTAACTGAATCTCTGGCCTAAGCCATTAAATTCTAAGATTTGGTTTTGAAAATTATCTGACCTTCCTTGGAATTTGCTATACAATTATGCTTTGCAATAAATCACAGCCTTTTCCATATAGACATTTTTTTCATATATGGGACCATTGTCTGGCAATACATTTTTAGTGTGCTGACTCTGAAGTATTGAATCAGTCTTATTACTTGATAGTCATGCCCCAAATGTGGATATTTGTACCTTCAAAACACATCATTTTTGGTATTCATGACTCTGTGTCTGACTCTAGTGTTATTACTTCATCAGTTGATTGTAAATGGCTTTATTGCAGTCAACACAGGTAATCGACCTAGCACTTAATGAGTATTTGCTAAATCAAGTGTCCACCTCCCAGTGATAAAGTGAGGTAGGGAATAATGCTTTGCTTTTGACTCTGAAAAATTTAATAGCTTTATATCCTATGATAATATATAAAGATAGTGAAATTTTTCACTGCTGTTTTTAAATTTCAAGCCTTTCTGGATGTCATAGGAGAGGAAGCTGCTTTATTGGTCTTAACAAGGACATTTTAAATCAGTGGTGTTGGCAGGAAGACAATAATTAAAAGACTTAAGGAAGTTTTACCATTACACAAAACACAAAGTGTCTAGTACCTGCCACCTCTATTATTGTAACAATTACAATTTTCTTCCTTGTTTAAAAAGACAAGTGCAAGTGTAGTTCAGCCTCATAGAGTTGATGCTGTGTTGGATAGAAATTTTAGGATAGACTCCTGGGTTGTTTTACAAATGTGCCATATTGGCATCTCTTAAAGTGATACCTCAAACACAGAACTTTTTAATTAGGAGGATGACAGCTAAATCATCATCAGAACTGATTTTTATTGTATTCTGTATGTAAATTTTATGAAGCTTGTTTCTATGAGTAATGTGGAAAACTTTTATAAATGTGAACATAAATATTTATTTGTCTAAAATAATTTGTAGTTTTAAAGCAGGTTTCACACTGAATTTATGGTTTCAAAAAATGACCAGTTTGGGGCGTTTCTCTCTTTTACTTAGCCGTAGACCTTAAGCGCAGTGACAAAAATTTAGGATTAAGAATTTTATTCTGTACTTTTTAAAATATAAGAGCCAGGGAGTTGCATCATGAAAGCCTTTATATAACAATGGAAATTTTATATGGGTAAGCATTTTCAAACATATATTAGTAGATATAAATGTTTGTTACATTTTTAATTTCACAATGATCAGTGTTACTTTGCTTAGTCTTCAGATAGCCCTTACACCCAATGAGTTAGACACTTCCTGTGTGGCAGCAACAAACATTAACCAGTTATCATGGCTCGGCACCAAAGACTGCGTATACCTCACTGTGGTGCAGTTATAAATTTTCAAGTTGCTAACTTAAGAGACATGGCTACAGGTGAATTCATTTTTGTGAAATCAGGTAAGTACACGTGACCTCACAGGCTGGGAAGGTGTACTGATTCTTTCTTCATCCAGCTCCTCTCACTGGCATGACCTAAGTCAGACTAGGGGTGCTTCTTAACTCCTCTTAACACGCGCACACCATATTCAAAATCTAGGAAGCTACACCCACATCCCTATTCTAGCACTGTAGCTGAGGAAGCTTTCATACTTCTAGCTTTTTCATAATCTAATTTAGGCAAATGACCTCCTCAAAAAGAAATCCTTTTTTAAAAAATAGTTCTGTCAGTTGTTGGAATAGGTTTTTAAGGGTTTGTTTGGCCTTGCTGTATTTTACCTATTTTTTTAAACTGCATTTTATGTAAATACAGTTCTTTATCATGATGAAAAAAATAAAAAAGCTTTTAAAAATGATTAGAAAATGCTACATGCACAAGGATGACCCCATCCCATTTAGTGTATAACATGGTTTAAAAAAATGCTAATAATTGTAATGAAACAAAATTAATTCAGGTATTTGTGAGTTTTATTTCTGTTTGTTATAGAGATTATGGCTCATTAGATTTGTTTTATGAATGGGGACACAATTAATAATGGTCCAGAAAAGTTATATAAAACTCAGCACTCATTAACTAATACAGTGTGCAAATTAAAAAATTTTAATGCTCAGTAATTTTTTCCACTAGATTCATTCTTAGAATTATTCTTAAGTAAATTCCCCATAGTATGAGAATAGTTCATAAAATCGCTCATCTGAATAAAATTCATTTTACTAGTTTTCTTCCAAAGTAATCTTGTTGTGGGGATGGCATACAAATCTCATTAATAAATTTTAGAAGATTAGTGAAGTTTTCTCTGAGGCAGTATGGAGCAGAGGGAAAAGTGAATTTAACAGTAAAAATTCCAAAAAAGTCCTGGCCTTTCTAACCACGTGTGACTTTCAACTAAATCATTTAGTTTCTCTGGGCCTTGGTGTCTTTCATCTATAGCATAGTGTACCCAGTTTCCCTGAAAGCCCTTCCAGTCCTTAATGTATATGCTCATCAATATTTTAGTACAATTCAAGTAATATTATTCATTTTAGAAATTGTTGTAAGTAAGCAGGTAGCATTCTATAATGGTAGATTGAATTTATTAATATAACTGTTAAACACATTCAGCTTCTTTAAGCAGATAATTGATATTTGGTTTACATTCTTACCAACCAATGTATGTCATTTTCACTAGATGCATATAGAATTTATGTTTAGCTTTGTATCTGTAACCTGATAATCTGAACACTCTGAGGCTATCACTTTTAGCTGATGGATCTACTGCCCACACATTCCCTTTCTTTTCTCCATATCATCTGTTGGCTAAAATCTCTCCAGGTATCCCTAATTGTTCACCCTTAATACATATCTGTTTACATCTTTGATTCTCTGAGGCCAAAACATCAATAAATAAGGAGTAAAACAATTTTATGTGTCTATATTTACGATTCACTCTAATATTATATGACCCTATGTCACCTTCAATTAACTAGGTTGCAGAATTATTAATGTTGATAAAAAAAAAAAGGCCATTGATTCCTTTCTTCAGCAAACATTGATTGAGTGCCTGGCATGGCAAACACTGCTAATAAGTATTGGGGATACAGAGATTGGTGAGACTCATTTGCTTCCCTGAAGAGGTTCATATTTAGTTGGTAGGAGAAACAGCAGAACACATCAATGTGTAAGAAGTGCAGTGATTGACCTGAGCATGCGTTTATAGAAACACAGAAGGATACTTAGCCTGGAGGAGTTAGAAGAGGCTGCCTAAAGAAAGTACTGCTTGACTTGGATTTTGATTTGAGGATTAAGGTGGAAGTCCTGGCAGTTACTGATGAGTCGGTACTGTGAACAAAACCCACAACAGAAAAGAACTAAGGGGTGTGTGTATCAAGAATTGCAAGCAATATGTGAGGCAGGAAGTGGGAAGAATCAAGACAACCGTTAGGTTTTCAGGAACACAAGAAAAGTCTTATGTTCCATGTTTGGAAGCTTGGACTTGAATCTATGAGCAATGAGACACCTTGAGAGAGTCTTATGGAAAGAAATGACTTATTGGAGTTTGGTTTCATCCATTTCAGAATCCAACTAAGCAGTTTTTACAAGATGAAATCACTCACATGAGACGGTCACATAGAAAATAACCTGAGTCTTTTATATCCTATTATTTGTATGTTCCTATTATGTTCTCTTCTAGACCCACTTGCCTTTCTGAGATTTGATTATTACCAAAAATCCCAGTGACTTGTCTTCTAAAAACACATAAAGCTACTGTATTCCTTATCAGACCCGTCCCCAGAATGACCTACATACGTGCATACTTTGAAATGTGTTTTGTTTTAAATGTTTAGATAATTTTTGACTGACTTAAATTCTGTCACTAGGCTAGTATTTGTTCCACCCAAATAAATCATATAAAATATTTTTCATTGTATAGTCTTGGCTGTAATTTGATAAGTCTTCTTGCTTTCTTAATATTTTGTCTCAATCTATGAAGCACAACTGCTTCAAAGTTACAGAGACACATGCCAGTTGGCCCACTGATTGAGACCAGTGGCTGTCCCCTCAGGTAACCTGGGTTGGCAGAGACTATAGCTAGTACTAGTACTAGGACTCAGTTGTCCTTGGGCCATTGGCCTCCAAGGAGAATATGTTTCTTAAGCCAGCATGCTGGTAATCCCACTTGTGAAGCCCAGCATCTTCTGACCTCATTTGTCTCCCCCCAAATTAAAAAAAAAAAAAAAAATATGCAGAATGCCAGAGAATTGGGCTGCCTCTCCTAGGACACAACCTATGACACACACAGCCATGCCCAGCCCCAGTATCTCTCAAAGGTTAGGAGGAGTTTGAGGGACTATGAGCATTTTGCTGGCCTTGATAGGTTTGCCTGCCAACTGTCATTTATGGCATCTGCCCTTGCCCTTGAACAACAAAGGTAGAACTGTACCAGTGCCTTAACTTTCTCAACCTAGGTTTTTACCTGATGCAACATCTGACTATTAAGATAATTATGAGTATCTGTGTATCAAGACAGCCAGTGTGAAATCTACAAGCAGTAGATGTTGCAATAATGATCTGGAGTTATGCTCTCAATATAGCCACATGTGGCTGTTTAAACTTTGATTAATTAAATATAAATGTATTCTTCAGTTGCATGAGCCCCATTTTAAGTGCCCAGTTGCCACATGAGGCTAGTGGCTACCATGGACAGTGCAGATAAAGAAAACATTTCCATCATCCCAGAAGCTTCTACTGCACAGTGCTGGTCCAGGAGATAACCCAGCTCTTGGTAAAAATTTTGACAGCCAAATGGTCAAAAGTTTGTAAAACCTGAACATGACCAAAAGCAATAGGGCATTCCTTTTTTTTTTTTTTTTCCTCTTCTACCAGAGAAGCCATATTTGACACATTTTGAAAGGCTAGTCTTTCAACTACAGGTATTTTATTCAACACAGATGTGTTGGCAGAGCCAGCTTTTAAAATTAATCCTTATTTCCTAGTGAATTCCGTTAGAAAACAAGGTCCGTGTTCTTGTAATAGAAATCACACTTAGGAATAAAAATCTTTCAAGACAATTATAATTTGCAGAAAGCATAGTTTGATTTCTAGGTGTCTAAGTGGTATTACTGCAATAGCCTTAGGTGGAGCTAGAGAACTTTATTTTTTTTTTACAACTTTCATTATAGAAGTTCCATAGAAACTTCATCAGTGAAGGATTTTTGTTAGGGTTACCCCTTTGGTATTCAGAAAATATTTGTCATGCAGATTACACATTGTGAGGGAATGTTACTGAATGTTAGCTTTTATAAAGACAATATATTCATTTTGTGCCCAGCAAGCCCTCTAAAAAAGGCATGGGTTGATCTCTAAGAGACCTAAGAACCTGCCACCTCTATTTTGTAAGACCCTTCCCCCTGAGATTTCCCCTATCCTGTACCATCTCATAAAAAGAACTGCCTCTAAGTATCAAAAGAATTGTGAAATGTTGGTGATGTGACAAATTTCTCATTGTTCTGCACCGGCATAGGCTTGCTTGTCTGTGTTATTGATAAGTTCTTTAATTTCTCATGAAGTATTAGCCTAATTTCATGTAATGCAAAAATATCTTAATTAGCAAATAAAAGTAAACTCCACATGATCAGAAACCTTAGTAGGTTTTTAATAAATTAATTGAATAATCGAAAATGCAGCTGTGTCTTGCTTTGTGAATTTTTAAAAAGCATAATTACGAACTGTATTTGGAATGCATTCTTTATTTGTATGGCTCCATCTCTGCAGTGAGCTTTTACAACAAAGGCTGTTTAATACACAGTTTTGATTTGTGTGGTATCCATTTTTGGATCTTGAATTATATCATCAGCTTCATAGGATGTTTCAATTGTTGAATTTGATGCTGCGTTTGAATTGGGGGCTTTGGTTTTCCTGTTTGGGGTGCCTGCAAAACACAAACCAAATGAAATAGTTATTTGAAATTATGACATAAAATTTGGCTTTTTAAAATGTGTGCTTAAAAAATACACTTTGGAGCCGTATTGAAAATATGTCTTGGAAACACTCCATGGATGAGTGAGAATTGAATCGTTTTAAAGTTGTTTTTGAGCATTTCCTTCTGAAAGTCAAATTAGGGAAATGATAACAGAAGTAAGAATTTCATTTCCGTGCTTACCTTTTTTATTTTTTTGCCTCCATGTTTCCATGGAGGAAATTACACATTGAGAAGAAGGCAACAATTTCTGGGTTGCTAAATAAAAGTGTGATTGTCCCTGTGCATAACGAACAAAACTATACTAAAGCTAATCGTAATAATTTGCAACACTCTTAAGGCTTTGCCCTCATAATCAGTTTAGATGTAATGTTTAAAAAGAAACACATTTGTGGGGAATCCCTGGTGGCTCAGCAGTTTAGCACCTGCCTTTGGCCCAGGACGTGATCCTGGAATCCCGAGGATCGAGTCCCACGTCAGGCTCCCTGCATGGAGCCTGCTTCTCCCTCCACCTGTGTCTCTGCCTCTCTCTCTCTCTCTCTCTCTCTCTCTCTCTCTCTCTCTCTCTCATGAATAAATAAATAAAATCTTAAAAAAAACCACATTTGTGCCATAATCTCATTCACTCATTCCATGTAAATATGAGTCCAAAATGCATAAGGGTAGAGGAATATGGACCTTTGCTCATCACCAAAACCAAACCTCATAGCAAAGAAATGGATTATTCTTCAAGAATGATTGTTAGAAAAGTTAAGGGCGCTCCTGGGTGGCTGAGTTGGTTAAGCATCTGACTTGATTTCAGCTCAGGTCATGATCTCAGGATCTTGAGACTGGAGCTCCATGCCTGGCTCAGCACTCAGCATGGAGTCTGCTTGAGATTCTCTCCCTTTGGCTCCCCCTCCTCCCTCCTCAGCAGCCTCCTCCCCGGCTTTCTCTCTCTCTCAAAAAAATCTTAAAGAAAAGTTATTGTATCATATAGTTCACCAACATATCCAAATTTAAACAACATAAATATGTAGAAGCAGTAGATTAATCCCCACTGTCACTAATGCCTCCTGGTGCTGAATCCCTAGCCCAGTTCACAGTCCGCATGTCTGACCTACTGGCAGCATTGTCCTTCCTTGGTCTCCAGGATACCACCCTTTCTTGACTCCCCTCCTCTTTCTCCATTGCTCCTTCTCAGTCTCTTGTTGGTCCCTTTTACTTCTCTCAGGCCCCTTAGAGTCAGGAGTGCCTCAGGGCCCAGCGCGTTGGTTCCTAGCCCCATCTTCCTCCCCAGTTAGTCTCATTTAGAAAAAAAATCTGCTCTGAACTTCCCTTAGAGGAAGTGGGATCCATTGGCCAAGAGGTTCCCCTATTAGAAACAGCTCCTTCCTCTACTGTTTGCCACTTACATCTTTCAATGTGTTCATACTGCCTGGCTTTGCTCAGTTGCAAGTAATTGTACAGACTGCTTTCCAGACCGTCAGCATACCCCCACGGTGGGTTGATTTGGGACCTCAACACTCGCAGGGCAAGATTATTTACAAGTGGTGAAGAACAATGTCTCCCTCCAGCTCCCAGATCCTGCTCACAGCACTGAAACATGGGTGGCACTGTTCTCTGAGCTCACCTTAAAAGTATCCGAAGTTTAAAGCATAGGGCCTGGAATCGTTCAAAAGATGCCTTTATTTCATCACTTCTGAACCTCTGTGGTGGTAAAGTACATGTTCTACTTCTCAACATTCCATCATAATGTTTCAACCATATAATGTGATTTTTTTTTTTTTAGAAGTTAATTTGTTGTAGGCACAACATTTTCTAGCCTGGTAAGTAGCTCTATGCCCAGTCAGCAATCATTATCTGTTAAATGGACTAGGGAAAGCTGGCATGAAAAATCTAATAAACCGATAAATTTGACTTGACTGTCACTTGCAGAGTGGAATTTTAGAAACTAATAGATGGAAATTTAACTACCAAGCACTTCAGTGGTGGAATTTATTCTCTATGGGGGCCACTGAAACTTTTCCTCCGGTAACATTTGAAAAGCAAAATTATTTCTAGGTTTGTTTTTCATTTGCACAGCAATGTTTGGTTAGTCCTCTTCAGTATTCAGCAGGTAAAGATAAAAGATCAAGGATAGAGGGTGTAAATTAGTTTCACATCATCTGGGTGGCTTTTGCATCTTACGTAAGCATTTCTTGACACACCTAAAACTTAGACTTTTATTGGAGTGTCTGAAACGCTGAACTGAATGAATGTTGGTTAATTCTAGTCCTTTGTGTTTCCTAAGCTTTTTTACAGACTTAGATTCATAAGTTATTTCAATAAGATTTTCAAGGTGTTTTTATCTACCTTGTCACATACAGTTTTTGTATTTTTTAAAAAATAAATTCAGGAAGTTATTTCCTAACTTAGAGGTTCTCTCTAAGAACCCCTTAGCTTGGGGTTCTCTCTTAGTCATCTCAGTTCTGACAGCCCCAGTTCCCTTTATGTATTTTCTGGCAACAACTGAAAGAGTTGAACTAACCTGTCTACTGCCCTCTGAGATTTCAACGCTTGCAAAATATACTCCAGGGTTACGGGTTTCTCTTCATCGGGGACTTGTAAAGACACCCATTCTCCAGCCCTGCCTCCTTATCTCCTTGGCTACTGGATCCTTCTAATCAGTGTAGGCACAAATTTGTCTTTTAGACTGGCTTCTGACAGCAAGGCAGTTCCCCTCACGGAACCAATCTGCTTCACAAACCAGAAAAGATTTGTCAGAAACACCCTTCCAATGTCACTGGAAGCAGGAATTTTGATTAGCAAGTTAACACCCCTAGTGTTCACTCCCTTCTCACAACTTATTAAAAAAAGAAAAAATCCAAAGGGGCTTTCAACATGTATCCTTTCTGGTAAGTCAGAGTAATTGGACATAGAGAAAAACCACTGCAGTGAGTAGCTATCGTGGTAACAAGAGTCCAGCCAACTGCACCTCTTTGGAATCCTTTTAAAAGAGAAAGCAAGAAAAGTCTGGGCAACCTCACCTTTTCCTCGTTTTGCTTTGATAAACAGATGCTAATTTTTTAGCCAACAAGGTAGAGAAAAACCAGCTGCCTCTTCTTCTGCCCCAAGATTACAACATGGACTGGATTTTAAATAAATCTGTCATTCCATGGAGCTCCCAAGGGATTTGTTACATCTAAAAGGTTTTTCTTTTTTAATTCCTCCTTTTCCTTACTGAATGCAGATTGTGAGGCTCCAACATTACTGTTCTTAACTGAGTTTGACATTAGTTGTTCTTTCCACAGCTCATGGCCCATTTTCTTTTTCTTTCTTTCTTTTTTTTTTCTTTTTTTTTTTTTTTTTTTTGGTGTCTGGTCATCAGAGGGAAATCTCAACCTTCCTTTAATTCTATACCTCTCAGACTGGCATTTAAATTAAAGCTTTGGCCTTTGCCAAAATTCAAATCCAATTCCTCAGACAATCTTTGCACGTATCCTCCACAAAGTATGCCAATAGATTTTTTTTTTCCGATAATAGTTGAATTTTGCATTCATTTTCAGAACCATTCCTCGGGAATCCATTTATCTTATAACTCATCTGTGAAATCTGCCCTTGCTTGCCATTTCAAAATACCAAAAGAGTGCTGGAGACCCCTGCAGGTCTTCCTCTCTTTGACTATCTGGCCGGAACTGTAATTAAGCTTTTCTGCTCTCATCTGCCCACATCCCCCTAGCTTCTGTGTCACATTCTCCATCCTACAGCAGCTTCTAATTCCTAATTAGCTGGCTCACTTTATTGCTGAGTGGAAAATCTACACATCTGACTCATCCCACAGTTCCTCCTAGGGAAAACAGGCAACCTTAAATCTACCCTAAGTGTGATTGATTTGCAAGAGGATGTTTTCCCTTCGAATTTAATATGGCCCATAGGCTGGATCTGAAGGTAATGGTCAAGTGGGCAAAACTTGCCTAGTGACCTACTGATCTATTGTGTTTTCCCTGTCTCCTTCTCCTGCCTTAAGAATATATAGATATCTCAGATAAATACACTTAAAAATTTACTGTAAAAGCTACAATCTTTGACTAGCCCTTTTGCTTTATCCATCCAACGATGAGTGAAGGCAGTTCTCTCCAGAAATGTTTTTCCTATCCTATTTTTTTCCACAATGAGCTTTCTTTTTCTTTTTCTTTTTCTTTTCTGCATTATTAAATTTTCCCAACCACTGGTGAATAACATAACTCAGAAATAACCTAGTGGATATTTAAAATCCTTTAAATGAATTTTCACAAGAGACCGGCTTCTGTTTTGTTTATTGGTTCCAACATCAGCCAAGATTGCCTAACCATGAGCCCTGAGGAGGACCCACAAATACTAAATGTGGCAGTAGCTCTGCTGAGCAATTTGATCTTCTACATTCTAGGAACAAAAACAGTCATAGGAAATTATATGATTATAATTATAATATTATATATAATATTAATTATATTATAATTATAATTATATGATTTTAAGTAGAAAAACCCCTTTAGGAGACATATTAACCTTTTCTGCCATTGAGTTCAAATTACCCCATCTTCTACTAAGATCTCAGTGAGTTCTTAAAGACTTTCTGAAACAAAGAATGGTATTACAAAATAATTTGGCAGCCTACTGAATAAGAGTTTTGAGCGGGGTTTTGTTGGAGAGGTGTTAAGGCTATTAAGAAAAATAGATCCCAAAGTTATCTGTAAACTTAGTGCAAAATCCATCAAAATACCACTTGATTTTTAAAAATTTGGCGTGATTCAAAAATTTATTTGGAAGCCTGAACATTACAGGAGTAGCCAACAAACTTTGATAAAGAAGAATAGTGGTAAGGGAGGAAGGAGAAAGTCTTGCCTGGTCAGATATTAAAACCATATCACTACCATAATTTTTACAGTATATTATTAGCGTAAGAATAAATGGATTGATAAATTTAACACAGCAAAATAGCGTTCAAAAAA